TGCAGCACCATTTGCAAAATGGGACTTTTGGCGGGCTCAGCAGGGCAGAGAGAGTCTATTCTATTGGCTTTCAAAAGCCAATAGAATAAAAGGGAGTAGCACAGCTAAGGAAAAGGGGGAAAAAATGGCGGACTGCGTTGTTTGGCAACCCCCGTGAAATGGTCGTTCGACCCCAAATGGGGTCCCGACCCACAGGTTGAGAACCACTGGTTTAGTGACTATTCAAAGTTACAACAATACTGAAAAAAGTGACTCATGGCCATTTGCACACTTATGACCGTTGCAGTAGCATCCCCATGGTCATGTGATCAAAATTCAGACGCTGGGCAACTGATCCATATTTATGACCGCTGCAACATCCCAGGGACACACCATCCCCTTTTGTAAACTTCTGTCAAGCGAAATCAATGAAGAAGCCAGGTTCCCTTAACAACTATGTTACTAACTTAACAACTGCAGTGATTCACTTAACAACTGTGGCATGAAAGGTCGTAAAATGGGGCAAAACTCACTGAACAAATGTTTCCCCTAGCAACAGAAATTTTGAGCTCAGCTGTGGCCATAAGCCAGGAACTCCCCGTATCTTGTTTTCCGTGGAACTGGTGAATTCTGCCAAAAGTTGATGGAGTAAAAATAAAATAAAATAAAATAAATCGCTCAGACACAGCCCCTTTTTAATCTCTAGACTTTGCCTCTGGCTCAGAGGTTTCAGGAATTTATGTTTTTAAAAAATAACAGAGGGACTAGACCAGGAAGTTGAAAAATAGCCAGGGAAAAGGCAGTGGCAAACCACTTTTGCCTTGTTACCAAGGAAACTGTGTGGTTGAGTCCATCAAGGGGTTGAACTCAACTTGAGGACATGTTTATCTTTGCTTTGATCTGCTCTATAGCCGGTCAACCGATGTGTAAGGCATTGTGTAGAACCAGACATGACTGAGCATTATATACTGAAATGCTGAGATTCCGGCAAAGAAACGTCTTTTTGAGTCAGAGGAGTTTAGTGTGGGTGGCACACATAACTTCTTGGTTAGCTGCTTTGAAGGCCCCTCCAAGAAGAAATGAGGTGGAAAACTGCTTGTGTTTATAATAGTTATTAAGCGTTGTGAGTAAGAGTGGATTTCCTGCAGCAGGCTGGTACTTGAGGAAGCGGAATGAAATGGCAAGGGAGGGATATGCAAACCTGAACAGGCTAAAGGCTCATGTTCCTTGAGTAGACGACAATGAAAGCTTTGGATCTTTAAAAAGCTGCCAAAAATTAATCATTTTTCACGAGCTGAGAACTGCACGTAGCTAAAAGTGCTGCTTCAAGATTTAAGTGGGGCCAGAAAAGGAGATGGCTTGGTCAGAGGCTAGATATATATTAAAAGTCAACTCAGTGACAGCTTAATTGATTTCTTCCCATATTTTTAATAGCTCTTCGGTTCCATTAATGATCACAGTTTGGTGCCAGGAATCTAGGGAGGTGCTAGCCTACATTTGCCTAAATGTATACAACTTGAGGAAGTCCAGAGGTAGTTTATTCAGATGGGTAACATCTCTCTCGTAATGTGCCTTTAATGGGAGTCCCCATCTACTGACTCATTGGCTTGACGTGGCTACCTACCCCTACATTATGATTCAAAATCTAATTAAAAATGGGTGAAAAGACGGTAGATCGTTTTGCCGATAAAAGGCTTGGACCGATACGTGACTATTCTTACCTGTTATCACACTTGGGTGTGTTGAAGAAATTTTTAGCCGCTGAATAATCTTTGTTTATCCTTGAAGACTCATCTGCAAGGTAGTCAACATTGCCAGTACACGATTTAGGCAACGGGAGAGTGGAGAGAAAAGAGCTTTGAAGAAAAGTGAGATTGTTCCAACCGATATTTCCAGGTCTCAGAAAAGAATAGATCTCATTGACCTTGGGGGGGGGACTTTAATTCAAAGAAGGGCAGGATAGAGATGGGGGGGGGGGGAGAGGAAAGACCCAGTTTGGTATAATGAAGGCACCAGATTAAAACCAGGAGACTGTGAATTGTAATCCCACATTAGGCGTGAAAGCCAGCTGGGTGACTCTGGGCCAATCACCAGTAGACTGTGAGTTCTAGTCCCACCTTAGGCATGAAAACTGGTTGGGTGAGCCAATTGCCAGGAGACAGTGAATTCTAATTCTGCCTTAGGCATGAAAGCCAGCTGGTTGACTCTGGATCAGGGGTAGGCAACCTCGGCTCTTTTATGACTCGTGGACTTCAACTCCCAGAATTCCTGAGCCAGCATGGCTCAGCTTGGAAACCTCTCCCTTTCCCCTCAGCAAGGCTGGCTCAGGAATTCTGGGAGTTGAAGTCCACGAGTCATAAAAGAGCCAAGGTTGCCTACCCCTGTTCTAGTCCAAGCCCCTGCTCAAGCAGAAGACCTTACAGCATTCCAGAAAAATGGCTGCCCAATCTCTTCTTAAAACCCTCCAGTGATGGAGCACCCACAACTTCTGGAGGCAAGCAGTTCCACTGGTTAATTGTTCTCACTGACAGGAAATTTCTCCTTAGTTCTAGGTTGGTTCTCTCTTTCATAAAACTTCCATCGGTTACTTCTTGTCCTGCCCTCAGATGCTTTGTAGAGTAGGTTGGCTCCTTCTTCTCTGTGACATCCCTCAAATATTGGAAGACTGCTATCATGTCACCCCTAATCTTTCTCTTGGTTAGATTAGACCTACCCAATTCCCACAACCATTCATTTTATGTTTTAGCCTCCAGTCTCCTAATTATCTTTATTGCTCTTCTTTGCACCCTTTCTCAAGTGTCAACATCTTTTGTTCTATTGTGGTGACCAAAACAAGACACAGTATTCCACTCTTACCAATGCAGCATAAAGATTGAAAATGTTTTCAAGTGAAAAGTAGCTTGCAAAAATGTCGCTGATTGAAATGTGGTAAATTTGTAATAATTATTCTCTAGAATTATCATCATCATAATTGGCAGAAATGAAATGAAAGAGACTTAAAGCTACAGAGATAAAGTGAACAAACCTGCCATGCCATAGACTTATTTATTTATCTTTGCAGCAGCCTCTTTGCTATTTCTGCTTGGATAAACTGGAAGTGTCAGAAATAGTTGGAACTCTTGCCAGTTCTCTTATAATGGAGAAATGGTTGGTGAAGATGACAAGATTTGCAGAGATGGCAACATTGACTTATTTGATTAGTGAAAAGACAATAACCACATTTGTTAGTGATGGAAAACACTTTATGGACTTTTTGCTGAAAGTGGAAAAAAAAAGAACTTGTGATTTATGGTTTTGATTATTAGAAAGGGTAGACTATGGAAAGAAGGAAGCCGTGATGTAACCTTAGAGAGAGAGGATAAAATATAAATGCAATTAAAACTGCTTCCTCCCTCCCTCCCTCCTTCCCTCCCTCTTTCTTTTTTCTGTTCTGTTCTTTTTTCCTTTCTTTTTCTTTTTTTTCTTTTCTTTGTTTACTTAATACTTTTATTTTTGTTTACTTTTACTTTTTCTTTAAATTTGAAGTATTTTTACTTGGTAAAAAAACCCTTCTGTAATAAAAATGAAATAATTAAAGAAAGGAATTTGTGCCTGCCCTCTGTTGCTAAGCTGATCCAGAATGAGCCATGAGTCCTGCCTAATCTTTGTCCATGGTGGATTTTATTTCCCGCAGTAACAGAACCATCAGCCAAACAAAAACTTCAAATATGATTTTAATTCTTGCTCTGCATGGAAGAGGGTCTACATGGAACTCGATTAAGGAGACTCAAAACCTAGTTCTAGAAGTTTCTGTAGTCATAAGAGTCTATAGTCATAAGATCCACAGCTGTCTCAAAATAGCTTAAATGTTTTTGCTAACCGTGAAATTTCTTCTGTTGCTTGATTTGTTCCTTTTGGCTAAACTGAGCTGTAAACATTGATTTCGACTAATTGCTGCCTTCCATTTCTCTTCTTAAGACATGTCTCCTTTTCTCTGGACTAATCCTTCCAGAATAATTTCAAATGTTACATTAAACTTAATTTCAGTAGGAAGTTCTCTGTTACAGACAGGATGAGAGACCAAGGGTGGAGAATAGGGGAAAGTTAGAAGGTTAGAAGACCTCCCTCATCAAACTTTCATCAAAATAACGGAAAAAAAAAAAATGTAGGAGAAAATTCAGGAAGAAGAGAACGAAGGATGCTTTTACCTCCTTTTTTTTATCTCCTCCTCATCCCTTCTAAAGGTAAAGGTTTCCCTATCCAGTTGTGTCCAACTCTTGAGTGTGGTGCCCATCTCCCTTTCTTGGCTGAAAACATTTTCCCTTGTTATGTGGCCAGCATAGCTATACGCCAGGGGTAGTCAACCTTGGCTCTTTTATGACTCGTGGACTTCAACTCCCAGAATTCCTGAGCCAGCTAACCTGGCTCAGGAATTCTGGGAATTGAAGTCCACGAGTCATAAAAGAGCCAAGGTTGACTACCCCTGCTATACGCCAAAGGCACACAGAATGCCAAAGAGACACAGAACGCTGTTGTCTTCCCACCAAAGTGGTACCTATTAATCTACCTGCGTTTTCCTGCTTTCGAATTGCTATCTATACCAAATTTATCTTTCCATGTCAGAATACATCTCTCATTTTCAGAGAGTAGAAGGCTATGTCTTATCTAAAAAGCTTTAGGGAAGAAAATACTCTCTTGTTCCTTTTTAACCCAACTCAATATCTTTTTTTTTTTAGGGAGGAGGGGCACTAGCAAATTAGCAGATAAACAATACTTTGTGAAAATACTTTCTGTTGAAAAGGGGATACTGTCATCAAGAATTAAGCTCATCTGTAAATGGGGTAGGAATGGTGTAAGCAAACTGTCTTGCCAAAATTTCCTTCCCTTGGAATTCCTCAAATATGAACTCCATAGTGAAATTCAAGAGAGGAAATTTGACTAAAACCATCTTTCAGTGTGATTTGTTTTGCCTGCTTTGTAGCTTTCATGGACATTTGTCATTTCAAAGAATTGTGGCCTGCAAAAGAAGAGAGGACATTTACTTAGTTTATCCATGTTTACTGAATTTCCCTAATTAATTTACTCCCCTCCTTCTCAGACAATGCTTACAACTCTATAAACAATTCTATAAACAATGAAATAAATCAGTGGAAGAAATCCAGAGTCATAGATTTTGGCTGTCCTAGGTTTTAAAGACCACAACATATTGTACACAGATGTTTGCTTAGCTTCTGGGATAGTTTAGAAAAGTAGAAAGCATAAACCTGAGCATGTAGAAGGTTGCAACTTTTCTAAAAGGGTTTGGCGAACAAACCAACATAGTCTGCCAGAGCATATTAAGTGTGCATGCTTAGCTTAGTTATAATATGTAAACAGATGGCCTTGCCTTAAGACCTGAATAAAACATGGCAGTGCTCTTATCAGCTCCCCTTCGATCATGGTGGTCCTTCCCTTGTGAAAAATTTGGTTAATGATTCAGTGGAAGGCTTCCACTTCAAGTCCTTTCCCCCTCCTCCATTTCATGTGTCCTGGCATGGGGTCCTTTTGGATTTGTTTCTTCTCCCTCTCAGATTAAAGTCAGGTTAGGAGCAGAAGCTCTGAGGCCTTCTAAGGGGGAATTCTTTAATTTCCCATCCTGTCCGTGTTCCATCCTCATATGGCACTGACAAGTGGAGGCCTTGCTGTAGGTCAAGGATTTTTTGTTCTTCTTCCATTTGTGCATTGAGCGGACCATTCTCTTGAAGATGAGGTAGAAGATCTCACACATGGTGAGGACAATGCAAAGAGCTGATGCCCCTACCATGAAGTACGTGAAAATCTTCTTCTCAGTTGGCCGAGCAATGTAGCAATCAATCGTATTGGGGCAAGGTAACAGGTCACACTTGACCAGACGGGGTAGGTCAAAACTGTCCCATATTCTGTGGAGGAGATAGAGGAAGACGATCTCAATACCCAGCTTGAAGAAGAGGGTCAGGAGGTAAGTCCACCACAGACCACCGTGTTTCTTTCCAGTGTTGCTATACAATTTGGGGCAGTTTTCCCCATTTTTTTCCCGGTTCTTCCTTTCTCGGTCCTCACGGTAGGCCACATGCATGATGACGAGCAGAGATGGACAGGTGACAAAAATCAGCTGCAGGGCCCAGAGACGGATGTGGGAGATGGGAAAAAAATGATCGTAGCACACATTGGTGCAACCAGGTTGCCGGTGATTGCAGTCGAAATCCTTCTGCTCATCTCCCCACACCCGCTCAGCAGCTACCACATAAACAAGCACACGGAAAACAAAGACCACAGAGAGCCAGATGCGCCCAAAAGCTGTGGAGTATTTGTTCACGCCACTCAGCAGGCCTTGTAATGTCTTCCAGTCCATGGCGATTGAAGTTGGAGACCCAGCTCACAAGCACCTGGAAAGTCAACAGAAGCAAATAGTTAAAGAAGTTTCCTAATGTTCAAGTGTTAGATAATTTTTTAATGCTTACAGATGCTTTCAGTCCAACATAATATCTTGAGGGCAGTAGGTAGGGATGACCACGGAAAGTAGGTGGGGCTCAAAAAACTGGGTGGAGTAGAGCGGGAAGAAAAGACAATTGATACTTAAATGTTTATGTACAAGCATCAATAAATGTTCTGTTTTTTTTCCTGCCAAAATGTGGTTGAATGCTATATTCACACTGTTTGGATGGAGGGTGCCAGAGGGGATGCATGTTTCTCTCTCATACAAAGATTGCACCAACATGCAAATCCTCACTTTACTTTCCTGACAGTGAGAACAATTAGTCAGTGGAACGACTTGCCTCCAGAAGTTGTGGGAGCTCCAACACTGGAGGATTTTAAGAAGAGATTGGACAACCATTTGTGTATAGGGTCTCCTGCCTGATCAGGAAGTTGAACTAGAAGACCTTCAAGATCCCTTCAAGATCTTTGTTATTCTATTATATTCTCTTTGAAAATACTGCTTTCCAGATCTCTACCAATGGCTAGTTTTGTAAAATTTCCATCAGAATTCTGTAGGAATGGACTGTGGAAGTCATTTCTGCATCAATAAGTCAGAAGGGAGTTGATAAGAATCTGTGCATGGCCCATAGGCTGGGTTCACACAATATCCTAAACTCCAAATCCAGGTTTGCAAAACATACTAACAGTGTTCATATTATATACAATACCAAAACACATCATCTAAATCAGGAGTGTCAAACTCATAACTTCATGTGACGTGTCGCAACGTATAGTGACTTTTTTTGCCATTGCCGGCAGTGGGGTGGGCGCGGTTTTGCTATGATGCATCTGGCCCATGGGCCAGCAGTTTGACACCCCTGATCTAAATGATGGCTTCCTATGCAGACATAATTTACACTAGATGTTAAAATAATGATGGGTTTTCCCATAGTGGTACCCATGGTTTCCCATAAAACTACCCCATCTCTTTTCAGCTTAACTTGAATGGTATGTAATTCTAGCTTTCCTTAGAGAACCTCATTGAACTTTATCTAAAAGTTTGAAGAACCCATTGCTTTCTCTAAATATCTGGATTCTTTCTTCTTGCTAGATGCCCTCAGTCTTCTGTTTCTTTTCTTCTTTTACCGTTCATATCCTTAACTGCTTAGAATGAAAGGATTTGATTACTTTTCTGATTGCCAGCCCCTCTTTTTAAAATATAATATCCTCTAAACTCATTCAAAGATAACTTACTATAATCAATTCAAACAAAATACAATCAGAAAACATGAAATAGAGGGAAATTGTCCCAAACCTCTGGTCTGTTTATCAATTCCTGGAGGGTGGGGTGCCTTTGCTGACTTATGGACAGTTATGATCCTTAAGTGGTTTGAAATTGGATGGGGTACTATCCCCTTCTGCTATTACAGTCCCATTGTTATACTACATCATGATATTATTGACAATCGCTTTTGACAAGATAGAACAACCCTCTTAATATTTTTAATTGCTTTGTTTTATATTGGTGTTTTTTTTTCAAATATAGTTTTTATGTCTTGTTTGTTAACCCCCAGAATTACTTAAGAAGTGTGTGTGTTCATTCCAAATCAACCAGCCTACAAATAAATCACATTCTTTGAAATTATCTCGGCCACTTTTCTTCTGGGCTTTTATTTCAGGCAGATCATTTGCTCTGGCTGAAAATACCGATGTCACAATATTTATTCACCTGGCCTGGTGGTAACTTATTATTCAGCTATTATGTTTAGTTGACTCACAGCTTAGTGGTTTCCCGGCATATTGTTGAAATAATTTATTGGAGTTAAGCAGTTCCCAATTTCATAGCTGGGAAAGGTTTTGACTTGATACACCCTGTTTCCTGTTCAGCATCTGGTACTCAAGGATATGAAGACCCAAAAGCATAGGATGGACAAACTGCCTACTGAGAGTCTAACTCAGTGTTCCTCAACCTTGCTGGCTAGGGAATTTTGGAAGTTGAAGTCCAAATGTCTTAAAGTTGCCAAGGTTGAGAAACACTAGCCTAATTGAATACTCTGCTCTTTGGATGCTTGGGTAAAGAATGAAAGGATGTGATTGCTTGCCTGACTATAAACCCACCTATCTTTAAAAAAACAATGTCCTCTTAACTAATTCAAAGACAGCTTACTATAATTGGTTCAGACAAAATACAGTCAGAAAATATGGTTCTATTTTTTCTCCTAAACATCACAAGATAGGCCTAAAATATCTACAATGCAGGAAAGCATAGTTGAGAACTACTATTAGACTTCCCCACCCATGATATATGATCATTCAGGATGAGACCAGTGTGTGGTACTTAATCTTTTTAAAAGATGTTGCCCACTGGGCAAAGAGGAAAATGTACAATATGTTTGTGAAGAAACTGCATTTTAATGAAGTGTCAATGAAGTCAAATGTGAGTTTTGCTCTGGCCTCACCTACTCCTCCCCAGTCCTGCTCTGCTGCCCATTGTGGTAGGGTGATGGTGGTAGTGGTGTTCCTGGGAGGGATAAGCAAAGAATGTGGTAAGTGTATGTTAGGAGCATAAATTCCCAGCAAGATCATCCGAGGTGTGAAAGCCATCCCATCTGCCCAGCAAGCAGTTATCTATATTGGGCAGCAACAACATAGGAAGATGCTGGAGGTGGGCAATAACTTTAGGGACCATGGCAAAGCCATCCATTCATACTGTCCAGGAGAAAACAATGGTATACCATCTATGTATTTTTACCAAAGGAAGCATAGACTGAAGGCAAAGAAGACCTGGAAGACTGGATTAGGAATAGATCATTATGGGAAAAAAATCTCTCTATGTGGTTGTGAAGAATTGACAATTTGATAGCATCCATCCATCCATCCATCCATCCATCCATCCATCCATCCTTCCTTCCTTCCTTCCTTCCTTCCTTCCATCCATCCATTCATCCATCCATCCATCCATCCATCCATCCATCCATCCATCCATCTTATCTATTACTCATTGGCTTCAGTCTCCCTAAATTTGCATAGCCTGGTAAAGTCCAGTAAAACTGGAAGGGACAAGTTTGGAGAAGGCTAGGGTGAAAAATACAACACTCAGAATTGGGTGGCTCAAGATTCTTAGGAGGAGACAGTTTTCCCTTGGTTGAAGAATCACAAAACATCAGGGGTAGTTGGAAGTCCTGGTTGGCTATTTTTATCTAGCAGGGTTTTATTTACCCATAATGCAGATCTATGTGATGAAGTCAGCTGAAGCTCACAAAAGTCTATTCCTTTTAATAAACTTCATTAAGTTGATAAAGGTGTAATCAGACTCTCATTCTTTTTTTTTTTTTTGCCCCCATAAACTATGACTGTCCTCTTATGAGTCCTACCTAAAGTTCATATAGGACCTGAGAGGTTTCTGAGATTCCCCTAACATGAATATCTCTGTAGATTTCCAAAGTAAAACCAACACATCTCTCTCTCTCTCTCTCTCGCTCTCTCTCTCTCTCTCTCTCTCTCTCTCTCTCTCTCTCTCTCTCTCTCTCTCTCTCAAACTCTCTCTCTCTCTCTCTCTCTCTCTCTCTCTCTCTCTCTCTCTCTCTCTCTCTCTCTCTCTCTCTCTCTCTCTCTCTCTTTATAAAATGTCAACTTTATAAAATGTCAAAAGGTGAAAAATTCCAAGATGGATTTGTACATGGGGTGGGTTAGCAGTAGTTAATATAGACGGGGGAGCCAGTCAGCCTCACGGTTGTGTGGGCCTCTGTATCCCCCCACACAAGGTCGCACAGCCATGTTTCGACTGGTTATCTCCAGTTTGCAGCATTTTCCTATTCCTTTCATCTCTTCCTAATTCCTTCTCCCTTTCCCTCCTCTCTCAGGTCTTCATTGCTGAAAAATATTGACAAAATGCTGTCTTGATGTAATCAAGCTATTTGTTGGCCAACTCCAAGAAGGAAGCAGCATTTTTGCGGACATGCATGTATCCCTATAACATATCAAGATCCCTCCGTTTACTGCAGTTTGGCACAAGTATCTTGAAGACCCAATCCCAGACAATGTTAAGTCTTCTAGTTTAATGAGGTCATGGCCTTTAAAAGACTTGGAATCTGGAAGAGGGTGGCCCATGCAACACCACTGCTCTGGGGGCTGCATTGACTGCTAGTTGTGGGTGAAATTCAAGGTGTTGGTAATCACCTTTAAAGACCTTCATGGCATGGGTTCAGGTTTCTTAAGGGACCATCTTTTGGGATTGGCCTGCACCATCTGTGCTGGCCAAGGAGGTATGCTGTGGGCTCCATTGGCCAGGGTATTCTGGCTGGTGAGGTCTAGGAGAAGGGCCTTTTCTGCTATTGTGTCTGCTCTCTGGAACATCTTATCCCCCGTTGTGACACTGGCATTTTCACCAGAGCAAATTATCTGCCTGTCCTCTCCAGCCCTCCTGATAAGAGCCTAAAGACCTTGCTCTGCGAAATTTAAAATTGTGTAATGGATTTAAAGGCAATTTTTGATTTATGGTTTGTTTTAAGAATTATGATTTAGAGTTAGAAGCAAGAATATATATATATATATATATATATACATATATATATATATATATATATATATATATATATATCTCCAAATTTCTTTTTCTGACAAAGAATTAAAGAATTAAATTGGGAGACTAAGATGGCCATTTCGAGCTCATTCTGCTCTCGTCAGTTAGCCACACCCTTTATGGGATTCGAACCTGGGCAGTTTAAGAAATTTGGATTTGTAATGTTTCGCAGTTGCGACTTGAGCCTGCTTAATGCCCCTAGTATAGCAGTTAAAAAATGTCAAGGTATAATCAATTAGACATCTGTCTGAAAAACTTACTTCCTGCATATATATATATATATATATATATATATATATATATATATATATATATATATATATGGTTTTCGCGGGGTGTTTGTATGTAGGTCTTTGGTTGTTCGGGTTTTCTCCCGCGTAAAATTGGAAGTGTCTACTTCGTCGAAACGTCGCCAAGACACGTCCAATTTTACGCGGGAGAAAACCCGAACAACCAAAGACCTACATATATATATATATATATATATATATATATATATATATATATATATATATATATATATATAGGTGACTTTTAGAAAAGATATTTTAAATAGATTAAGAATACTTTTTGGAATAACAGATTTATTTGATGAAAATTATGTATTGGAATTGAAAAAATGTTGATTTTTTAGATTGGGATGGTTTTAATAATTAATGGAGTGTTTTAACTTAGATTATTTTTTTTGGTACAATAACATAGATGTGATAAAGTATGACAATCAATTGGATGAAATTTGAAGTTTTTGTAATGAATTGAAGTGAATTAACATTATTTTTTAATTAAGATAGCTATTGTACAATGGAAGAAGAAATAAATGAGATTGGTGATAAAAGGAGGGATGAGAGAAATTAAGAACTAGAATATATCTGGAAGGGATACTTGAATTGATAACTTGTTGAGTTAAAGTGAAATTTGATTTTGGTAATTGTAAACTGACAAAGCTTTAAAACAGGTTTAGTAGTAATAGAAATTTAATTTAGAAATGGAATATTTTAAACGTATTATGTCATTTGAGGGAAATAGAGAAGAGACAGTGAATGTATTGAGTTGAGTTGTTTATTTATGTTTTTACTTTGGAATGTTTGATTACCCAAACACCACGGCGTGTCCTGAGTACTTTTTCTTAAAAATTAAAAAAACAATAAAATATTTTCAAAAAAAGAGAGAGACTTTGCTCTGCCAGTTGGTTTGAAGCCCCACAGGAGTTTCATGTTTGAAATGGCTGATAGGTTCATATCAAATCCCACCTCCTCCATGCTCCTCCTGCTCCCTCCCTCCCTCCCATCTTTAACTACCGTGTTTTGTCTTTTTATATATTTGATTAATAAATGAATAAAAATAAAAGATTGTTCTTTTAAACCCTCCTAGGCTTAGGCCCAAGTTTGCTTCTGCCTCACGTCCTCCTTCTTGCCTTTTCACCTCCTTTTCTTGGCCACCCACTCTTTCCTTTTGGCCCTGTTCTTCTGGCCATTGCTGACTTCATCCTACTCTCTGAGTTACACCCATCGATGGGCAGCCTGCTTCCTCCAGTTCATCTCAGCAGGCAGCTTCTCCCATCTCTAAGTCAGAGCTGGGTGACACATGCCCGCCTACTGTTTCCAGCCCCATCTGGAATGACATTTCCTCTACTGTCTGCACCTTGTTCTTCGTACTTCATGGTGTACATGGTGTACTCTTCTATGTTCCCCTGCCAAGGCCATTTCTTACATAGCAACCACTTTGCTTTAAAATTATGTCTTGGATTTTTCTGTGTTTCAGGACCTGTACCTAGTCTCCAACCTTGTCTTGCTTGGGATTCAATTACTTTTTTATGTATTACCTTTATATATTATTGGTATCAAAGTCATGGATATTATTACTTTGGTACTAAGATTATTATTATTCTGTGGTTTTGCATGTAAAATGAGAGCTTATGCATGGGAGACAAATTCCTTGTGTGTCTAATCAAACTTGACCAAATAAAGCTATTCTATTCTATTCTATTCTATTCTATTCTATTCTATTCTATTCTATTCTATTCTATTCTATTCTATTCTATTCTATTCTATTCTATTCTATTTCTTTTTTCTATTCTATTCTATTCTATTTTATTTCTTTTTTTTATTCTATTCTATTCTATTCTATTCTATTCTATTCTATTCTATTCTATTCTATTCTATTACTTTTGTGTGTGTGGAATGAATAGTGAATATTTTGGGGGCAAAAATATTGAAAAATGTTTGAGTTTCTCGGATCCCTTTCTTGCCAAGAGATTTTCTCTTCATTATTGTCGTCTGTTACTGGCAATTCCATCTTTGCCCAACTGGCACTCTGCCCATCATCAATTTGCTAGTCAAATCTTGGTTTCTGAAGAAGTCATGGCGGGAAAACATATGAAATTCATTCCAGGTAAGAGAATGCTTATTCAATAAATTTGCCCTCACACCCACTGCCACTTGACTCAATTGTATCACAATTATTTTATTGGGCGTCCAATATGGGCTTCTCCTAGGCTGTTCATGGATGACAGCAACGTAAGACTTTTTTTTATAGATTGCTTCACATATTTTATTAAGCTGCTAAAAAGAAATGTAGTTCATAAACTAAGCTAAGCAACCGGGTCATGGTTTGTTCAGGCATAGTTAGCTGAATAAACTGCAATTTTATGGATATATATAATACACTGAGTTATGGGTGTCCAACCTTTTGGCTTGCGTGGGCTGCATTGAGTGATATGGCGATAGCACTTAGACTTATATACTGCTTTACAGTGCTTTACTGCTCTCTTTGGTTTACAGAGTCAGCCTATTTTCCCCAACAATTGGGGTCCTCATTTTAATGACCTTGGAAGGATGGAAGGCTGAGTCAACCTTGAGCTGGTGAGAATCGAACCGCTGAAATGCTGGCAGCTGGCAGTCAGCAGACGTAGCCTGCAGTACTGCATTCTAACCACTAAC